ATAAAGGAAACATTCATGTATATGCCAATATTACCCCCAACCATTTATCCCCAATTCTTAATTGTAACCCTAATTTAATCAATTTTGTTCACAAAAATCCAATTTTGACCACAAAAATCTAATTTTGATTTTTTTTTTCAAAAACTTTTTGTTTCAAATTTTTTTTTTTCCGCCGGGTTCCGGCGTTGACTTTTCGAATTTTTTTTTCTTCCGGATTTTTTCGCCGGTTTTCGGTGTTGACTTTTTTGTTTTTTTCTTTTCTTTTCTTTTCTTTTCTTTTCTTCCGGATTTTTCCGCCGGTATCCGGCGTTGACATTTTTTAGTGTATTTTCAAGTTTTTTTTTTCTTTGTTTTTTTTTTTACGTCTGTCGCTAAACGTTGACCGTAATTGCGCTGTCACTGACAGTAAATTAACGTAACTATACTGTCAATGACAGTTAATTAACGTAATTGTAATGCCGTTGACAATACATTTATGTAATTGTTCTGCCGTTGACAGTAAATTAACGTAATAACGTAATATTATAATTTTTTATTTTTTGTTAATTTTTTTTATTTGTTAACAAGTCAACGTAATTATATTACTGCCGTTGACAGTAAAATAACTGTAAACACAATAATATTACTGTCAACAACATCAATATTATTATTTTTTTGGGTTTTTTTGTTTTGTTTGAGTTATTCACGGAGTAACGTAATAATATTACTATCTATTATTGTAATATTACTGTAAACACAATAATATTACTCTGGTTGACGGTAATATTACTGTTGTTATAGTAATATTGTTGTCAACCACATCAATATTATTATCTTGTTTGGATTTTTTTGTTTGTTTGAGTTATTCACGGAGTAACGTAATAATATTACTGTCTATTATTGTAATATTATTGTGGTTGACGGTAATATTACTGTCACTCACAGTAATATTAATTCTTTTAGCTTTTTATTATGTTTACATTTGTTGAACGGTCAACATAGTAATATTACTATATTACACAATAATAATGAGTTTTGTTATGTTAATATTACTGTGTTAGAGATTAATATAGCAATATTACTGTATTAAACTGTAGTTAAGTTAATTTTATTGTGTCTAACAGTAATTTAGTTAATTACTGTCAATCACAGCAATATTGTTGTTTAAACGAAAAAAAAAGTTACAGAAAGGAAGAAAAAAAATCGAAAAAGTCAAGCCAGAGACCGGCGAAAAAATCCGGAATTTTTTTTTTGAAAAGTCAACGCCGGCGGTAAAAAACAAATTTTGAAAAAAAAAAGTTTTGGGTCAAAATTGAATAATTTGTGAAATTTGGGGTCAAATTGAGGTTAAATTAAGTTAAGGATGAAATAGTAGCATATTAAAGTATGAGGGGTTATTTTAGTCATTTACAAAAATCTGGACCATGTGTGGACTTATTGGTAAATGAGTTTTTTGTCTAGATCTCTTTATGAATAAGTACCCATTGATGGGCTTATTTGTAATGACCCCTAAAATCAATTAGCTTAAATATGTAACAAATAAAATATATAACATAAAATCGGGGAATTGATTAGCAATTTCTATATTGAAAAGAATATTTTGAAATTTAAAATTGTTAGTTTAAAATTTGAAATCCTAAATTTTATAAATTCAAAATCCAAATGTAGTTTAATTATTATTTCGGATTATGAAATTTCAAATTAATAAAATATATTAAAATATAATAATGTATTGATCAAAAAAATTATAAATTAATTTAGTATAATTGTTTGGACGTATAATAGAAATACGCAATTTCAAATTATTATCAACAAAAAATATTGTATATTTATTAAACAGTACAATGTAAAAAAAAATTGTTAATATTTTTTTTTATTAAATAGATATTCGAATATTCCAAAATATTGAAAATAAAAAAATAAAAAAAATAAAAATAAAAAAAGAAAGAAAGAAAGAAAAAAGAATTGTATTCCTTTATTTTAATATTTGAATATTAAAAACAAATTCTGGAAATTATTAGAATATTCGTTAAAAAAATTGAGTATCCTGAAATTTTTCAATAAATATATTTTGAAATATTGAAAATATAAATTCACTATTTTTTTTAAATTTATAGAAAATTAAATTTGGAAATAATATATATACATTTGGTAAATGTATAAAAGAGTGTACAAATGTTAAATAGGAAATAACTTAAATACATACCAAATTAAAAATGACAACTAATCAATTGAGGAATCCACCTCATCAATTTAATGGCAACTAAGCAATTTTGATAAATGACATAGACATTTGCCACATGTCATTCATATAGGGCATATATCATCTTTTTTTATTATATATAGATTTTGGAATGTTGTTAATTTTTAGAATGTTACAAATCAATTGACTTAATTTTGTTTCAAAATGTTATTTTTAGAATGTTGTTAATTTTTATGATGATCAATTAATTGTTAAAATAATTCTACTAGAAACATATTTATTTTTATTATGTTATCATATGTACTTAACTATCATCAACACCAAATTATTTGTTATTACAAAATATCAACATAAAAAATATATTTCAAGCATATTTGTTATTATTAATTATTAGTCTAAATTATTTTTATATTTGAACGTTTTGAATTTTAAACATCAATTTACATATCACCTAGCAGAATTTTTAATATCAAATATTGATTTTTAAGATTAGAAAAATTAATTTTATCAATTGATATTGATATAAAATAATAGTAGTAGAGACACTTTGAGTTCTAAAAGCCCAAAAAATTAATATATTCTAAAAGAATAATTTTTTGACTAAGTATAATTAATCTATTATAGAAATGGGCCAAATTGCCCAAAATATATTGCACAAGTAGCAGCAACTTGTTAAAAGATAAGGACAAAATGCGCTAGGGCTTTTAGATCTGACTCCGTATGGGTAGTACTCAGATTCCTTCAAGTTTTCCACTTGAAGACAAGCAGCTTTTTCACGGCGACGGCGATGGAGACAAGCAGTTTCTTCACGGCGACGGCGATGGAGAGAAGCAACTTCAAGAAGGCGAGGAAGACGACAGTATACGATTAAGGTAAAGTTTTAATTTTTAATTTTTACCTATTTCGAGTTCGAGGTTTCGATTTACGGTGACGGCGACGAGACTATAGGTGATTTTTTACTTCTGTTTTGTTCGATTTCAATCTCCCTATCTTGAATGAAATTTTGATTGGATTTAAGGTGTCCCATTTGTTCCATATTGCTGTTATTCTCATGTTGTACACGAAATATGCACAAATACCGGCATTATGTACACGTAATATGCATAAATACTGGCATTAGGTTTTTTTTTTTTTTATTTCATGATGGGATTGGAGTTTATTTCCCTGTTATTCTGTATTATGTGAAGCAGAACAAAAACTTTACAAGGAGAATATTCGGAGAAATGCAAGTGCCTTGAGATATCTTCAACAAGGCGTGAGTAAAACCATATTTCCAAGATTATTTGGAGCAAAAAAGGCAACAGAAGCTTGGGATATTTTACAACAAAGTTTTAAAGGAGATAAGAAAGTCACTTCTTTAAAAACTCCAATCTCTTTGGAGAGATTTCCATAACATGGCAATGAAAGAAGGCGATGAAATGCAATCCTTTCTTTCCAAAGTTGCTGAAATCGTCAACCAAATTCGATGCCTTGGTGACGTTATTGAAGAACATAAAATTGTTCAAAGAATTCTAAGAAGTCTTCCGACGAAGTTCGATCATGTTGTTGCGACCATAGAAGAATCTAAAAATCTTTCCACCTATACCTTTAATGAATTGATGAATTTTCTTCAAGTTCATGAGGAAATGTTGAATAGGTCATCAAATCAGCCCGTGGATCAAGCTTTTCAGTCGAAACTTTATATTTCGGACAAGAAAAGTTCAAGATGGCAAGGTGGAAGAGGCGGCTTCAACAACAAATGAAAAAGACCAGGAAAATTCTTTAAAGGAGGAAAAGAACAACAATCTGAAAATTATTTTTCGGGTTGCCGTATTTGTAAAAAAGCGAACCATGAAGCTAAAGATTGTTTCTTTAGATGCAAGAGCTGTAAGGATACGGACCATTCCTATTTTATATGTCCAAGGAAAAATAAAAACGAGAAAGACCAAGCAAACTTCTCCAAGCATGAAGAAGACCAACTCTTTTCTTGCATAAATGAGCAAAACGAGTTTGAGAACATGTCGATAGAGCCTGTAGCAACCACATGTGTGGTGGTCGTAGTATCTTTGTGGAGATAGATACTAATCCCTTCTCTAAAATAAAACTTGGAGACGGAGGCATTCTTGAAGGAAAAGGAAAAGGTGTAATTGATGTTAACAAAAAGGGAGGCAACCGAAAGCTCAGTAAAGATGTTCTTTTCGTTCCGAACATCACTCAAAATTTATTGACCGTCGCCCAACTCATGCAAAAAGGATATCAATTACTTTTTGACGATAACGAGTGCAACATATTTGATAAGAAAACCAAAACTCATGTGATGACAATCGAAATGACTTCAAACAAGGTTTTTCCGTCTGTTATGTCATAGGAAAGGGAAATGGCCTTCAAAAGAGAAAGTGTTGATAAATTCCATTTGTGACATTTGAGATATAATCATTTGCACAACAAAGGGCTGCAATTATTGAAGAAAAATAGTATCGTTGTTGGCCTTCCATCAATTGAAAGAAAGGAGCAAGTTTGTGAAGGGTGCATTTTCGGCAAAATGCATAGGCTACCTTTTCCTAAAACATCTTGGAGAGCCAAATGTCCACTCGAGTTGGTGCATTCGGACATTTGTGGTCCTACGAGGACTCAATCTCTCGTTAACAAAAGATACTTCATTCTTTTGGTCGATGATTTTTCAAGAATGATGTGGATATATTTTTTGAGTGAAAAATCGGAAGCATTTTCCATTTTTTTACAATTCAAAGCTCTTGTTGAAAATCAAAGTGGAATAAAAATCAAGTCGTTATGGACGGATCGTGGTGGTGAGTTTATCTACACACCATTCATGGAGTATTGCAAGAAAAACGGGATTCAAAGACAACTCACCGTTCGTAGAAGTCCACAACAAAACGGTGTAGCCGAAAGAAAGAATAGAACCATGTCGAGATGGCGAGGAGTATGCTTCAAGGAAAAAGCTTACATAAACAATCATGGGTTGAAGCTGTTCACACGGCTATCTACATACTCAACCGGTCCCCGACCAAGGCGGTTCTAGATAAAACACCGAACGAAGCTTGGCATGAAAAGAATCCAACGGTGGATCACTTAAGAGTTTTTGGCTGCATTGCCTAGTCTCATATCTCAACTCCTAACCGAGACAAATACGATGAAAAAGGTGAAAAATTAATTCTTGTTGGCTAAAGCGACGAGTCAAAGGGTTATCGTCTTTATAACCCCGAAACTAAAAACTCATCATCTCAAGAGATGTGATTTTTGACGAAATGGCCAAATAGAATAAGGTGGACAATTCTTCACCAAATTTTGTGTTAAATGATTCTTTGGAGTCACCTTTTGTACCAGAAGGGCAGCAACAAAATGGAAATGAAACTCCATTAACAAGTCCTCAAAGAACACCTCAAAAAACACCTGAAAAAAGTTCCTCAAGTTCTTCGAGTTCGGATTCCGAATATCCTCCAAGAAAGGTATGATCATTGAAAGATATTTATGAGCATTGTGATATTGCTTTCATTGGTTGTGAAACTCAGAATTTTGAAGAAACAACAAAAGAAGAAGTTTGGAGAAAAGAATGGAAAACGAAATTCAAACAATTAAAAAAAATAAAACTTGGGAGCTTTTGGATTTGCCACAAGGCAGAGAAGTGATCGGCTTAAAGTAGGTGTTCAAAACCAAAACTCAATGAAGACGGTTCTATCCAAAAACACAAGGTGAGATTAGTTGCAAAAGGCTATTCGCAGCAGCCCGGGATAGACTTCAATGAGACTTTTGCCCCGGTAGCACGAATGGAGATAATTAGGTGTGTTCTTGCAATCGGAGCTCAATTGTGGCTGAATGTCTATCAATTGGATGTCAAATCCGGATTCCTTAATGGGGAGCTTAAAGAAGAAGTCTATGTTCATCAACCTCAAGGCTTTTTGCCAAAAGGAGGAAAAAGTCTACCGTTTGAAGAAAGCTCTCAACGGATTAAAACAAGCACCATGAGCTTGGAATAGCAAAATTGATGGATATTTTTGCAAGAATGGATTTCAAAAAAGTCCAAGTGAGCCCTCACTCTATGTAAAAAATGAAGGTACTCAAGATTTTTTGACCATTTGTCTTTACGTTGATGATCTTATTTATCTTGGTACTAACGGGAAAATGGTGAAGGAATTCAAGAAAAATATGATGCAAGAATTTGAAATATCCGTTTTGGGACTAAACAATCAGAGGGGGAGATTTTTATCTCTCAAGAAAAATACCTTGATGATTTGTTAAAAAAATTCAACATGGAGAATTGCAAACCCGTGGCGACATCTTTGGCGGTGAATGAGACGTTGCAACAAGAAGATGGCGCTGAAAAAATGGATTCAAAAATATATAGAATTTTTGTTGGTTCGCTTATCTATCTTTCAAACACAAGATCCGACATAGTGCACTCCATTAGCTATGTTTCGTGGTTTATGAGTGAGCCAAGCAAGCTTCATTTTGCAGCGGCAAAGATGATCCTTTGATACCTTCATATTTTCAATAAAGAAGTTGGAACATCATTCCAAGATGAAGACTTGACTTGTAAAAGTCAAGAAGGTTTCTTGTAATTTGTTAACGCTTTTACATTTCCTAAGAACTTGAGACTTGGAATGGAGTGTGTCTTTGTATCCATTCATACCCTATAAATCGTAACCAAGATCAGATTTTTATATGCAATAAACAACAACTAAAAACTAAGAATTTCCAGCACTAAAAACCTCTTTTGTTCTTAAGTAATTCCATTGTTCTTCACTTAATAAAAATTTCTACATCAATTATTGGTGTTCTTTCTTAACACCACACTTCTGCATATTAAAAACCCCAACATGTAATTCGTCTGCACTTAAGGGGGTGTATTGAAAATATTAATATTAAATGATACATTTCACTAACAACTTAAACTTTTAGTTTAGATGGTCATTCAACACTTTTCAGAAGATGAAATGTTTTTTTTTTCTTACAAGAAAAGTTTATTATGGTCCGAAAATTAAAGTTTCAGCATAGATTATTGATTGTCCTTGTCTGAAAAAACCTCATATTGATGAAGTTGCAGGGGCAGCGTTACTTGGCAGGGAAATACCCAGAGACAGTAACCGTCCTCGTAGCGGTGCTGAGGTCGGCTCGTCGAATTAGAGGTGGGTTCCTTTTGATTCATGAAACCGTTGCAATAATCCGTCATAGAACAACAATTCCTCAAAATTTCCACTCGATTTTTTGGGTAATGAAGGAACCCGCGGTCAACCATATTATAGATGCATTGGGTAAACCTACACTCTCGTATAACAGCCTGCAAACCATACGAGAGATGCAAACCACACTAAGCTAACCATGTGTGACATGCTCGACCTAGCGACCTTTTGCAAGGGAATTCGATCCTGGGTCAATTGACACAGGCTCACTTGCTCCAACCGCTAGGCCATCCCTTGCAGGACGAACTTTACCAGTATTATTTGAAGTGGGGTTCAATTAGTTTAGGCTCCTCTCAATTGCCAATATAATATGAGTATTTTGGGTTAAGACTTTTCTCTTTTTTCTATCTTCTGATTAGATATTGAAATTTCTAGCGTAAGAAGCTTAATTAAAGTAATTGTGAAAATTTGGGCTAGTGTCTTTTTCTTTTTCTTTTTTGGTACATTCATGCATTTGGATCAGATGTCAAAGGAGGACCATGATTGTTTCACGATTTTGTAGATGCTACACTCCGTGAAATACATCGGATGATCATGCACAATTAATCTACATATAATAGCACACATTTATGTGTAAATGCAAGTAAATAATTATTTGTATAGATCTATAGTGCAGGATCATATCACCCGGTAATTTTTACAGATGTAGCATCTCATAAACCTCATTTTTTATTTCCTTCAATTTTTATCAATGTTATGAGGTGGCAAATGGCAATTAAAGATATTTATTCCCCATATATCTTACAAGCCGCAATAACTTTTTTTTTTCGTGCCAAAATACATTTCAAATTGTTATGCATATATTATTTTTTTTTAATAAATTGAGTAAAAATATCTTTATCATGGCTAGCTCCCACTAGAAAAGTCAAGTTTCCAAAATCACCACTGCCGGCAATAATATTTCGCATTCATGGAAAGCTCTCCCCCTTTGGTTGGATCAAAATCAATTCAGACAGACAACACTTTTGTTGATGGATTTGCGCAGATTGCTTTTGTGATCATAAACAACAATGGCTCTACTCTTTTTGCACACTCAATGGAATATAATTGCCCTGATTCTCTTGCTGCTGAATCTCTTGCGATTAAAAGTACGTGTATGTTCATTCATAATGGAAAGGTGGATAATGTGATTTCCGAAGCGGATTGCCTCAACGCAATTACTTATATAACTGATCATTCCTCGACAATTCAATGGACTGGAAAAATTATCATTGAGGAAATCAGACGCTATTGGTCTCTTTGGCCGAAATAGAGATTCAAGTTTTGTTCTCGTAATACAATTTTTGCGGCACTCAATATTGCTCAATGGGCAGCTTCTTTGCATTGGAATGGTTCTATCCCTCTATCTTCGCTTCCTTGTAATTAATTGTTTTTGTGATGGGGGTTATCCCATTATGGACATTTGTTTATGAGATAAAATACTATGTAGCAATCAAATGATGTTTAAATGTGTTTGAAAATGGTATTTAAGAAGAATAATTTAAAGATTAAATTGATGTTTGTTTGTTTATTTAGTGAAGACATTTTCTAATACAACAGTCATAATATTTTTACTAGAGAAATAAAATGGTTTATCCCATTTTATTTGTTTTTCTAGTGAAATTTTATTATTTCAAAATAATTGTCACTTTGGATTTCCAATGAAGCATTTATTGTATTTTTCTCATATTTTCCCTTGTTACTCTTAATAAAATTAGGTGAAATAATTAATGAAAGTGGTTTTTTAGTCATTTTATTATGATTTTCCAGAATCCATGCACATGTATTAATTTTCTTAATATGTGTGCGCAGGGCCGGCCCAAGCCCAAGGCGGGCAAGGCCACCGCCTTGGGCCTCCGAAAATTTTAAATTTTTAGGGCCTCCGAAAATTTTAAATTTTTAGGGCCTCCAAATATGGAAAATTTCATTATATATATTTGTTTACGTATAATTTTCAAACAAATATGTAGCATTACTGGAAAAGAACGCTCTATGGTCTTAATATGTCACGAGTTTGAATTCCTGTAGACCTTGATTATTTTTACATTTTTTTTTTCTGGCCCAACTAATTTTTTTTTTCCTTGTTCTGGCCCAACTAAAAATAGCCATTTCTTGTTCTGGCCCAACTAAAAAAAAACAAAAAAAAAAAAAAGTCTTAATTAAACATTCATAAAACAACAAAAGGGAATCAGACTCACTGTATCAGAAGGGAATAATACAGACCAACAATACACACGCACGCACACCACCAACTCACTGTATCAGAAGAAAGAAACAAGGGTTTCAACCCCAAAAAAAAAATAAAAAATAGAGGAAGATTGAAGAATACAACACAGAGATCGAGAGACAAAAGAATAAAAAATAGGTTTGTGCCTCCACTTTCATAATATTTCTTTTATCAATTTGTTGTCCACTTGTCCTAATTTAATTTTTCTTTTTCTATTGATAATCAATGAGTTTGTACTTTGAGTTTAATAATTAGGTTCTTGTATTTTTTTATATTTTTTGTAGTGCTATGGGCCCTAGAAAATATGAGTGCGGGGATGCGAAAAGAAAGAAAAAACAAAGAATAGAAGAGTGTACAAACTCGCAAAAGGATGTTATTTTTAAATTTTTTCCGCATATAAACCGAGTTCAAGATGAAGTTGTAGTTGAAGATGAAGTTGTGGCTGAAGATGAAGTTAATTTGGAAGAAGTACACGAGAATGAGGTTGACAATGAAGAAGGCATTCATGTTGTTGTCGATAATGAACAAAAGATCCAAACAAATAATATCGAAATTGGAGACGCTAGTGGGCTACCATATGAAGAAGCAAAAGAAGATACGGAACAGTTGAACATAGACGACCCGGTAAATTGGATTAAGCTAGATCAGAAAATGAAGGACTTGATAGTAGAAAGAGGTCCTATACGAGCTGTGGATATCAACTTTGAGTACCCTCTTGATGATCAAGGTAGACATTTCTCTTCTGTGCATTATACGCAACAACTAACAAATGGAGAAAAACAAGAGAGGAAATGGTTAGTCTACTCAAAACTTGGAGATAAGATATTTTGTTTTTGTTGTAAATTGTTCAAGCAAGATGGAGTTAAAGTGCAATTGGCCACGGAAGGTTTTAATGCTTGGAAAAATATTTCAAGCAGGCTAAAGGGTCATGAATGCAGTAACGATCATATTATTTGCATGAGTCGGTGGATTGAAACTGAGACGAGAATGCGTAAAAGAGAAACAATTGATAAATCTTTGCAAGAAAAGATGAATAGAGAAAAGGACTATTGGCGACAAGTCCTATTAAGGATAATTGCTCTTGTTAAAACTCTTTCACAGCAAAACTTGGCATTACGTGGTAGTAATGAGACACTTTTCGAAGATGGCAATGGAAACTTTTTGAAATTCATTGAGATGATGGCAATATTTGATCCTATAATGCAGGAGCATGTCAGGCGAATCCAAATGAGTGAGATTCACACTCATTATCTTGGTCCCAAAATTCAAAATGAATTGATCCAATTATTGGCAAACGAGGTCAAGTGCACGATAGTGGAGAAAATAAAAAAAGCAAAATATTTCTCAGTTATACTTGATTGTACTCCAGATTCTTGTCATGAAGAACAAATGACTCTTGTGATTCGATGTGTAGATGTTACGGTAAGTCCAGTGAAAGTGGAGGAGTACTTCTTGGGCTTTCTCAAAGTAGATGATACCACAGGACTTGGACTTTTCAACGAACTTGAAGAGGCGTTAAAAAATCTTCAACTTGATATTAAAGATATAAGAGGCCAGGGATACGACAACGGTTCTAATATGAAAGGAAGACATAAAGGTGTGCAAAAAAGATTATTGGATCGAAATCCAAGAGCATTCTATGTACCATGCGGCTGCCACAGTCTCAATCTTGCACTCAGTGATATGGCTGGTTGTTGTTCACAAGGTAAAAATTTTTTTGGCATTATTCAGCGTATATATTGTTTGTTTTCAGCTTCAACAAAACGCTGGAGCATCTTAAAAGATAATGTGAGTGGCCTAACACTTAAGCCATTGTCACAAACACGATGGGAAAGTCGCCTTGAAAGCGTAAAACCATTACTTCTTCAAACCGAAGAAATAAGGAATGCTTTATTGGATTTGGCTAATAGCAATGAAGATGGGGCAGCAACCAGTGAGGCTCTTGGTTTCGTAACAAACGAGCTTGAGAATTTTGAGTTCTTATTAACTTTGGTTATTTGGTATGACTTATTATCATTTGTGAATATTGTTAGCAAGACTCTTCAAAATGAAGAAATGCATATGGATGTTGCTTTGGAACAGTTGAAAGGACTCATTATTCTCTTCGAAAAATATAGAGAAACCGGATATGAGAAGGCCAGGAATGAAGCTGAAGTTATAGCAAAAAAAATGGGTATTCAACCAATATTTCGAGAGAAACGAGTTACCCGTCGAAAAAAACACTTTGATGAGAACAACAATGAAGATGTTATCCTAACATCCGAAGAATCCTTTCAAATAAACTTTGTCTTCTTTGTGATTGATCAAGCTCTTACTTCATTAAGGGTAAGATTTGAAGATTTTCAAAAGTTTGAAGACATGTTTGGTTTTCTGTGGAATATAAAAAAATGGAAACTTGTCGATGATGAAAGCTTGGAGAGTAGTTGTATGAAACTTGAAGAACATTTGAAATGTGGTACATTATCTGATGTTAATGGGCGAGATTTGTTTTCGGAATTGAGAATGTTAAGAGAACTTTTGCCAAAAGAGATTGAAAAGGCAATTGGAGTATTGAATTATTTGAAAGAAATGAACACTTGTTTCCCGAATGCATGGATTGCTTATAGAATACTCCTCACTGTACCTGTTACAGTTGCCTCTGCAGAGAGAAGTTTCTCAAAGTTGAAGTTGCTTAAATCTTACCTTCGGTCAACTATGTCTCAAGAAAGACTGAATGGATTAGCTATTCTATCTATTGAAAAACATATTACAGGGAAGCTTGATTTTACGAGCCTGATTGATAATTTTGCAGCTAAGAAGGCAAGAAAGATAATATTTTAATGATTGTTAAATGTATTTTTGTATTGAATATTTATGAATTATGGATTTAACTATATTATGTATTTTTTTATGTTGTTATTTTGTTATGTTTTTTTTTTTTTTTTAACATAATGATCGTTAAAGGGGTCTCATTTTTCGTCTTTCCCCTTCTCCGCCTTGGGCCTCTCGGACTCTAGGACCGGCCCTGTGTGTGCGTCAGCTCAAAACGACAAAGAAAATGGGAAGGATGGAGTAAAAGCAATTTTTGGGAATTTCCACATTTTCATGAATTGAGGAAATAAGTAGTTCCATATATTTGTCAATTTGACACAAGTTGAAAGATTAACCATACATACCATATTAATGTTTCATTTTACAGATGGTGGTATACTTAATTTGCCATTAATGAATTTGTTTTTCTTACCATGATAATGCCAAAGGTCCCATACGCACTTATAGTACATAAATGCAAAAATGAGAGAGAGAGAGAGAGAGAGAGTCCAAATTTCAGTAAATGAGAGTGAAGAGTTGGAATTAATAATTGCAATAATCATACATCAAACTAAAAAAATGAAAAGGAAAAATGCAAGAGAAGAAGAGCACAAGAAAATGGAGGAACGTGGAAGAGGACGACCAAAGAAGATTAAGATTGCACCCCAATCCCATAACTCGTGAGTCCACACACACGCGCGTGCAGACACACACACAGACACACACCAGATATGTAGAATGTGTGTGTACGACTATATATATGTTAAATTCGCACAGTTGAATTTTTTTTATTTTTTATTTTATTTGGTGTATTTTTTTTTGTATTATTTTGTGGAAAATGGGTTTTAAGAATAATTTGTGCCAGAAAGAGAGTGATGTTTGCTTAATTTAAAAATATTTCAAGAAAATTATCTAATCAATTGAATCGGAAAATAAATGTATGTTTGTTTGTAGTTAAGTGAATACATTTTTTTTTTGTAGCGGTGAAATCATATTTGGGAAAAAGAGAGAGCTATTGAAAATTTTATAGGGAAAGTTTATGAAAAGAAATGATACTACCAAACATTGCCCGAGAAACCGATAAAAGGGATCCGAGGAAAAACTCATCTAATCGGTAATGGATTATTTTTCCGACCGAAACCGAGTTTTTTTTCACAAATTAATTATAATGCCTAATGTTTTTCATATACATTGAGAAACTTTTACAAGTGATTTTTTAAAATTTTTTGCTTCCAAATATAAATGGGGTTAATTATGGTTACTCGCATTTGACTCGTTACTGTAATTCGTTTGGAGCATTTCCTTGTACATTAGAACCTCGATAGATTAGTAATATCGCTTAAATAATCTTCGTGTCCCGACTCGGTGAAATGTATTAAATTATTAGTTCAATAATTTAATATTTCATAAATTAATAAAAGTTTGCTAGTCCGGAGAGGGTATTAATTTATACAAGTGTAATTGTACTAGCTGTCTTAATTAATGCTACAACTCGTTCGATGTTAAATCTTTACTCTTGTCTTGTTTAATTATTTTTTAGCTTAAACTATTTTTTTTCCTTCTTAATTAACTTGAGGATTGATATTATTCGTGACAGAGATCAAATAACGGTGAACGATGATGATGACTTACCCGAGTTCTTCAAAGTTCACGTATCCGAAATTTATTCTGAGAGAATGGTAAGATTCCATTTTTATCTTACTATCAATGACTTACCCGAGTTCTTGTATAATGTGTACAAGAATCGATATCTGATTAGCCTAGTGGTTGATGAATATTGTTTGGTTGAATCGAATGATTATTTTGGTATTAAAAATGATATTTAATAATTTATTTGATCTGTTTTTTTTTTTTTGTTTTTCGTTTCAGAGAATTCCTCCTGATTTTATCGAGAAATTTGGTCGAAAGAAACCGGCAATTGTCACACTAAAAACAACATCTGGAATCTCTTTTCGAGCTGATATGAAAAAAATTAACGAGTGTTGGTTTCTCGAAAAGGGTTGGCCAGAATTCGTGAAGGAAAATTCAGTAGAGGAAGGTGATTTTCTGACTTTTTCTTATGCTGGAAAATCTGTGTTTAATGTGAAAGTATTTGCGAAAAACGGCTGTATAAAGAGTGTTGATAATCTCGAAGAGGATGAACCTTCTTAACCTGGTTAGTTCCTCTACAAATATTTAACTTATTTCTCTGTTTTCTTCACCATATATATATATATATATATATATATATATATATATATATATATATATATAATCAAGGAAATATAGGGAAGAGTTGCTAGTTGCTACGACAAAGCTCTTACTAATAATTTTATTTCTAGTGAATTCTTGATTTCTTGAGTTGCATTTACAAAGGTAAAGATGCTTTAAATAGATAATAAAATGACTGTCGAAACTCCTGCCTAGAAATGAACTTTCAAACTACCAAGTGCATGAATACTAAAGAGCATGAATATTGAAATGCATGAATACTAAAGTGCAGGAATATTAAAATACATGAATATCAAAGTGCATTAGTTTCAACAGTTTTTTAGGGCAAATTGCACATCACCCCCTGTAAAACAAGAATAAATGTTTCTCACAACATATACACAACTTACACAGACAGCTTTAGTTGCATAGTTTAGACAACTTAGTTACACAGCTTAGACAGCTTAATTGCATAGCTTAGTTACACAGCTTAGTAAAATAAGCTGGATAAAAAAATTAATTATCAGGTGCGTATATCACCACCAACATCACCATCACCATCACAAACAATTCTTAATACTTTTTCATTTGATTTCTATAATTATTAGGTTACTGTTAAGTGTATATTTTTACACTTTATCGTACCTTTTTATTTGGGCTTTTGGTGTGTTTTAATGATAATTGGTGTTTAAAAAGTTGATTTATTGTATTTTAGGTACAAATTGAAGAATTGGAAAAGTATGGGGTCAAAACTGCAATTTTGGCGAAAATATGGGTCAAAAGTGAAAATATCAAAATTCTGAAGAAACAAGGCTCGGACCCCCGTCCCAGTTTTAGTGCAAATTATGGGACCCCCGTCCCATACCCCGAAGTTGCGCAGTAAAGGGATTTTAATTGCACAAGGAAACTGCCTTCTTCCCCAAGTTCTTCACCCTATATAAGACCAATCCAAGCACACAATTAGGGATCTTTTTACGCAATTTCAAGAGCAACAAAGCAATAACGAAGACGAAGAATTCGAAGACTCCAAGCAAAGATTTATCGTCTATGATTTATTTTATTTGCGTTTTTGCTTTAATCATGAGTAGCTAAATTTCTTATTTCTAGGATTTTATTTGGAACCCTATGTGGGATTTATGAACCCAATTCTATGATTTTATGCAAGTTTTAATTCCGGGTTATTTCTTCTACTTGTTTTATTAAGTTCATGAAACTGACCACTTTATGCGCTTTTATGTTATTGTTAATCGCATGAATCGGAAGATCGGGTTAATAATTAGAACTGTGGTAGAAGAGCCTTTGTGGTATTAACATAGGAATATAGTTAATCTCTTAGGTAGCCATTATTGAGATTTGTGCTTAATGCTTTGTTCTAGAATTAATTGCATAGGAATATAGTAATTGAATCTAGAGTATTAGAATCGTAATACACGCGGAAGCGGGTTATGATTAAATTAGCATCTCAGGTTAATAATCCGGATTAATTGCTTGTATAATTGAAGGAATTGGGGGAATAATAATCACATAGGGGGGAGAATAAAATCCTAGGCTTGTCTACTTTGATTAATCTTCGTTTTTAAATTGCTTTCGTGTTCTTGTCTTTTTAATTTTCTTTTAAATTTATTTTAATTTAGTTAATTCTCTCTAAATTCGACTGTGTAGGGTGGGCTTGATAATAATTGGTAGAATTTAGCGTCTAGGATTAGATAATTAAATATTCCCTGTGGGTTCGATATCCGGACTTAATTGTCCACTATATTACTTGTACGATACGTGCACTTGCGTGTAGGTTTTCGACCAACAAGTTTTTGGCGCCGTTGCCGGGGAATATTTTAATTATTTATTTTTATTCTAGCTCTATATTTGAACAATTTTCACGATTCACCAATTTAATTTTTGTTTTATTTTATTTTTATTTTTAGGTACTGTGTATGCGTAGGAGACTCGATCTTGCTAGAGAACCGTTTGATCCCGAAATCGAACGTACTTTTCGAGCCGCTAGGAGACTTCAACGCGCAATTAATATAATGGAGGACGAAGAACGCAGGGCAGCGGGTAATTTACTCGGGGCCAACGGAAACCAAGTCCAAGAACCACCCCCTCAACTCCCATTACAACCAGCAGTTAGGCCACGGGCACTTCAAGATTACATAATCCCGACTCATGACGGATTCCGCCCGAGCATCCAATATCCACCTATTGAGGCGCACAATTTTGAGATCAAGCAAGGCCTCTTGACGATGCTCCAAAATAACGGGCTATTTAGTGGATTGGCGGGTGAAGATCCCCATCTTCACATTGTCAATTTTCTAGATACTTGTAATTCCCACCGTCAAAACGGCGTTTCTCAAGAGGCGCTTCAATTAATTCTCTTCAAACACTCCTTACAAGGAAGAGCTCGCCAATGGTTGATGTCCCAAGCTCCCCACTCTATCTCGTCGTGGCCTCAACTCCTCAACCTTTTCATGAAAGTCTATAACTCACCCGAGAAGGACGAGAGAATCCGACGAGAAATTCACAATTTTGTCCAAGAGCAAGGCGAGCAATTATACGAGGCATGGGAGAGATTTAAAACTCTTTTGCGGCAGTGTCCAACACATGGAGTCGAACAATGGCGGCAAATCCACATCTTTTACCAAGGGATTAAGGAGAATGCACGAACGGTCTTAGATGCATCAACTGGGGGGAATTTTATGAGTCAATCGATACCGGATGCGTTTATCATGTTGGATCAAATAGCTCAAAATCGGTTTGCCAAGTCAAGCGAGAGGACGGTTAGTGGGGCCAAGAAAGTTCCCGGAGTGTTGGAGTTAGATGCAATTACGGCTCTTCAAGCGCAAGTGACCCAAATTGCTCAACAAAATCAACTCCTACTACAACACATCAAAGCAAATCCACCACAACAAGTCCAAGCCGTTGAGTCTCCATGTTGTGAAATTTGCGGTGGAAATCACTACACGCTCCAATGCCAACAAGATGTGGAATCGCTCAACTACGTCAACAATGCGCCTCGCCAATTCCAAAATCAAGGGTGGAGATCACAAGGGCAATATGGAGGAAATCAACAAGGCCAAGGGTATCAAAGACCTCAAGGTAAATTCCAAAATCAAGCCCCTCCTCAACAAAGCTATCAAGGCAACAATCCACCGGCCCAAAAATCAAGCACGGAGGAGATATTGGCCCAATTCATGACTGCTACCCAAGCTTCGCTGCGGAACTTGGAAAATCAATTCGCCCAATTTGCTTTGAATCAAGAGAATCGTCCGCAAGGAGCATTGCCATCAAACACGGAGGACCCAAGAAAAAGGCAAAACGAGCAAGTACAAGCGGTGAGCCTACGTAACGGACGACAATTGGAAGAAGCCCCGAGAAAAGAGACAAATATTGGAAAAACAAAAGCGACCGAGGCGGCGGAAGAGGACAAAAACGTTCAAGGCGAAACTTCAAGGGCGAAGGTTACACCGGCTCCACCCATCCCATACCCACAAAGGTTCCAACCACCGAAGTTAAATGCCGAATACCAAAGCTTTGTTGACAAGATGAAGGAAATCCGTATCAATATCCCTCTTATCGAAGCACTCCAACAAATGCCAAAGTGGGTGAAGTTTGTCAAAGAACTCGTAACAAAGGGACGAAAATTGCAAGGAAACGAGATGATTCAACTCACCGAACAGTGTAGTGCAATCCTTACGAGACCTCTCCCTCAAAAACTCAGCGACCCAGGTAAGTTTACTATCCCTTGTACAATAGGAGATAAATTTTTTCGATCACTCATTGATTTAGGGGCTAGCATCAACCTTATGCCTTTTTCTACATATAAGAGTCTTGGGTTGGGGGAAATTGAACCAACGGCTATAACACTCCAATTAGCCGATAGGTCTCTAGTCTACCCAAAGGGGGTTTTAGAAGATGTCTTAGTGAAGGTTGACGAATTTATTCTTCCTGCTGATTTTGTGATTCTTGATATGGATGAAGATAGAGAAATCCCAATTATCTTGGGAAGGCCGTTTTTAGCTACTTCACGTACTGTTATTGATTGTGCTAGTGGGGATCTCACCATGACGGTGCATGACCAAACTATTAAATTTAACGTGTTTAATGCAATTAAGCGGCCGCACAATTCTAATGAGTGTTTTTCTATCGATTTAGTGGAGTCCTGTTCTTTTGAAAATTTTGATTCGTTACACTTGGATTCTTTGGAAGCATCTTTGGTTGTAGGTAACGACTGTGGAGATGAAAGAGTGGAGGAGCAAATTTGTTGGTTAGATTCCGGTGATTTTCTCACCCGGCAAAAGTTTGAAAGTTTGGATTTGGCCACCCTTACCACCCCCAAGGCATTCAAAACATCATTGGAGGAACCACCACAGCTTGAGATGAAAGAATTACCCGGACACCTCAAATATGCCTACCTCGGTAAGAATGACACTTTGCCGGTAATTATCTCACAATCTCTATCTACCTTGCAGGAACAAAGGCTATTGGAAGTACTGCGGGAACACAAGACGGCGCTTGGATGGAAAATAGCGGATATCAAGGGAATTAGCCCTTCATTGTGTATGCACAAAATCATCTTGGATGATCAACAACATCCGTCAGTAGAGCAGCAAAGGCGTCTCAACCCCATCATGAAAGAGGCAGTCAAGAAGGAAATTCTCAAGTGGCTCGACGCAGGTATTATTTATCCGATTTCTTATAGCGCATGGGTAAGCCCCGTTCAATGTGTTCCTAAGAAAGGAGGTATGACAGTTATCCGTAATGCAAATAATGAATTAATTCCATCTAGAACCACAACGGGTTGGCGAATTTGCATGGACTATAGGAAATTAAATAAAGCCACTAAAAAGGATCACTTTCCTTTACCTTTTATTGATCAAATGCTTGATAGATTGGCCGGTAAAGAATTTTATTGTTTTTTAGATGGATATTCGGGATATAATCAAATAGCCATTGCACCGGATGATCAACACAAAACCACATTTACATGCCCTTATGGTACTTTTGCATTTAGACGCATGCCTTTTGGTTTATGTAATGCACCTGCTACTTTTCAGCGGTGCATGATGGCTATTTTCACCGATATGGTAGAGAACGGTTTAGAAGTTTTTATGGATGACTTCTGTATTTTCGGTGATACTTTTGACACTTGTCTTTGCATGTTGGCTAAGGTTTTGCGCAGGTGTGAAGAAACCAACTTGGTGCTAAATTGGGAGAAGTGCCACTTCATGGTGCACGAAGGAATTGTGCTTGGGCATAAAATCTCGCGAGACGGCTTGGAAGTGGACAAAGCAAAAATCTCCACAATTGAAAATCTTCCGCCACCTATTTCGGTCAAAGGCATTAGGAGTTTTCTTGGACATGCGGGCTTTTATCGGCGTTTTATCAAAGATTTTTCAAAAGTTGCCAAGCCCCTTTGTAACCTACTCGAGAAGGAGACAAAATTCAATTTTGATGGTGAGTGTCTTCAAGCTTTCAACGAGCTTAAGCAAAGGTTAGTATCCGCTCCTATTATTTGTGTACCGAATTGGGATGAACCGTTTGAGCTTATGTGCGATGCTAGTGATTTTGCGGTTGGCGCCGTTTTAGGTCAAAGGAAAGAGAAAATTTTTCGATCAATTTATTATGCTAGTAAAACTGTTAATGATGCACAATTAAATTACACCACTACGGAAAAAGAGTTATTAGCTGTTGTTTTTGCTTTTGAAAAATTTCGCTCTTACTTATTAGGACCCAAAGTTGTTGTTTTTACTGATCACGCTGCCCTCAAATATTTGTTTACTAAAAAGGATGCAAAACCTAGACTCATTAGGTGGATTTTAATGTTGCAAGAATTTGATATTGAAATTCGTGATCGAAAGGGTAGTGAAAATCAAATCGCCGATCATCTATCTCGACTTGAGAAAGATGTAGACGAAAGCGATAGAATTTGCATTAATGAAAATTTTCCTGATGAACAGTTGCTTGCTTTTGATAATAAGGTACCTTGGTTTGCTGATTATGTAAATTATTTGGTTAGTCAAGTGCTTCCACCGAATCTCAATTATCATCAAAAGAGGAAATTTTTGCATGATGTTAAATTTTATTTTTGGGAAAAGCCTTTTCTTTTTAGACAATGCAGTGATTTGTTGGTGCGAAGATGTGTCCCGGAACATGAGCAGCAAGACATACTCTTTCACTGCCATGGTTCGGATTATGGAGGACATTATGGAGGCGAAAGAACAGCACGTAAGGTTCTTCAATCAGGTTTTTTTTGGCTCACTCTTTTTAAAGATTCGTATAAATTTGCTATTACTTGTGATCGGTGCCAACGCACGGGCAATATTTCGGCTCGCCATGAACTCCCATTGAACACGATGATCGAAGTCGAGCCTTTTGATGTTTGGGGTATTGACTTTATGGGACCTTTTGTCCCTTCATTCAATAACCAATACATCTTAGTGGCCGTCGATTACTATACTAAGTGGGTGGAGGCAATAGCCACCCCAACTAATGATGCATCTGTAGTGTGTGTGTTCTTGAAGAAACAGATTTTCACTAGGTTTGGAGCACCACGGGCAATTATTAGTGATGGTGGATCGCATTTCGTGAATAAGCAATTTGACAACTTGATGGGCATATATGGTGTAAAGCACAAGGTTGCACTCGCGTATCATCCACAAACGAATGGGCAAGCCGAAGTTACGAACCGCGAAATCAAGAATATCTTGGAAAAAGTGGTAGGCCCAACAAGAAAGGATTGGTCGAAAAAACTCGATGATGCACTATGGGCATATCGCACAGCTTTTAAAACGCCATTGGGAATGACCCCTTACCGTGCGGTGTTCGGTAAAGCATGCCACTTACCGTTATAGTTGGAGCATTGTTCTTATTGGGCGCTAAAAAAGATGAATTTCGATTACAAGGAATGCAAAGAACGAAGGTTATTGCAACTCAACGAGTTGGACGAATTACGAGAGCAAGCGTACGAGAGCAATTGGTTATACAAAGGAAAAGTCAAAAAGTGGCACGACAACAACATCTTGCACCGTCAATTTCAAAAAGGGCAAGAAGTTCTCTTGTTCAATTCACGGCTTCGATTATTCCCGGGAAAGCTTAAATCAAGATGGTCGGGGCCGTTCATCGTTCAACAAATCTTTCCACATGGAGCTATAGAAATCAAGGACCGTGAATCGGAACGAGTATTCAAAGTGAATGGAAATCGACTCAAACACTATTGGGGAGATGGTGGCGAACGTCAAGTGGCCTTGGTCACCTTTGCTTAACGAGAAAGAAGCAACGTCCGGCTGAAGACTTTAAACTTAGCGCTTCTCGGGAGGCAACCCGAGCTTTATTGTTTTCGTATTTTTCTTTAATTTTTCGTTTCGTTTTTAGTATCATAAGCATGCATTCTAATTTATTATTTGAATTTTACTTTTCAGGGTCGAAAACGTGATCGAGGGTCGAGTCGGCGTCCGCGAAAAAAAAAAAAAAAAAAAAAAAAAAAAAAAAGGGACTAAGGGTTGAGACGGCCGTCCGCAAACTGGTTATAAAACCGGGACGGCCGTCCCGGAACCAGAGAAGACCGGTAATTTCCGGACGGCCGTCCCACAAATAGGCATAAAACCCGGACGGCCGTCCCGGAAACAGAGAGGGCCAATAATTCTCGGACGGCCGTCCGAGAAATTGTTATAAAACTGGGACGGCCGTCAGAGGCTATTCCTGGGCGTTTTAAATTCTAAAAAATTAGATTTTGCCCCCATTTCTTCCTAAACCCTTCTCTTTCATCCTCTCAACCTCCCACACACAATTTTCGAATTTTTGAACTTCTCTTCCAAAAATTCTTCAATTTCACACATACAATTCACTCATGCATTCTCAAATTATTAATTTGTGTTAGTATTGACAGGGAGGCTAGAGAATCGAACCAATTTCTTCCAAATCTCATCTTTCAAGGCACGCCCACAAGGTGTTCGACAAATTGCCTCAACCAAATTTGGAAGACGTTTCTCATCCAATTCTTACCGCATCTACTCCAAAACTTCTCCCAAATATGTCGTCCAACAAACGAGGTCGCACGAATGAAGCTTCATCTTCCAAAGCCAAAGGCAAAGGCAAGAAAGGCGCCACCAAAACGACGGTTCCTTTGCCCGAAAAAGAAGCTTTTAGTGTGGAAGGCGCCGCGGCTCTATTCGATAAACAAAGCAAAAAGACCGTCATCACGGAACGGGCCTTGACAATCACGTTGTCACATTTCGCAAATCTTAACCAAGAAATCATACGACGAGGATGGCAAAAGTTGTGTGAACCGGAGCGAATTTATAATATCTCAATCGTGCGAGAATTCTACGCCAACACGTTGGCACTCAAAATTCCAAGTCAATCCACAAGTGTGGTGCGCAACATCTATGTTGAATGGGAAGCAAACGATATAAGTCAATATTACGGACTCCCGTATTTAATGCACAGTTGGCGAGAAAGGAGAAACGAAGTCACCCAAGAGCAAATTGGTGACGTGTTGAGTGACGGGCATCCAATGTGGATTGAATACCCGGACAAAGGGACGTATGAGCTAAATTGGAAGAGCATTAATTATGAAGGCAAAGCATGGTTGACGTTCATTTGTGCCAACATAATCCCGACTACTTCATTTAGTCGGATCAACCACGAACGGTGTGCGCTCGCCTATTACATTATCACGGGTCAGCCCGTCGATATTGGGACCGTCATGTACGATCAATTATGGAGGACAATGCAAAATAACACAAAAGGCATCTTCTTCCCTAGCCTTGTAACGGGTTTATGCAAAAGAAAGAGGGTCCCCAAATTACCAAACGATATCGAGCTCAACATCCGGAAGCCAATTGCCGACTTTACGGCCTCGCTATTCAAAGAAGCCACCCATGACGAGCCGCAAGCCGCTCTTCAAGCCCGAGACGAGCCCGAAGCCTCAAGCTCCCGTGCCGATCGACGATTCCGAAAGAAGATGGAGCGAGAGATGATAATTACGAGGAACCGATTGACTACCGTCGAGCATAAAGTCAATACGGTGGAGGCACTTCAACGGTGGTCGAGCAAAATGCTACAAGCTATTGTCCAACACTTGGGATGCGGGACGCCCGATTGCATCGAGCCGGCACCTTTACCGGCACCCATTCTTGAGCCCGTACCCGAGCTTTCCGATGAGGACGAGTGTGAGAGAGCGAGAGAGGAGCACCCCGATCACATCGACTCCGACTAAATCAGGTGTTTTCTATCCTTGAACTTTGTGCTAATTTCGTTGAGGGCAACAAAAATTTTAAGTTTGGGGGTGAAAAACATGTTATTTTTGTGCTTATTTGTTTTAGTTTGCATGCATTAGGTTTTATTTCGTTTTCATTGTTTTTCTCGTTTTTTCCGGAATATAAAAAAAAAAAAAAAAAAAAAAAAAAAAAAAAAAAAAAATTTGCTTGAGTCGAATGCATCTATGATTTATGATGATGAGAGATGATCAATGTTTGATGATGAAATTGCTTGTTTTATGTGATAAGTATTTGATGTTTGTTTAGCTTTCGATTCAACGGGACTTAGAGGCGAATTATTGCTAGGAATCACATTTTGTGCATTGCTTTTGTTGAATGTTTTGTATTTTAAATTTGGAATTAATTTGTGCTAGATCATGCTATGTTCGGTTTTTAGAACTCACCTTAGGAAATTTATGATACGAAGTATTGAGTAGTGAGTGATTTGGGATATGATTTGGGCCTTCTTTGAACCGTTTGAGCCTTTCAAGCCGACCTTTTTATCGAAATTATCCTTAGAACCTTGATTTGAGCCTCGGAGAAAAGGTGTTCTTTCTTTTAGCCAATGTGTAAGGTAGAATAGGTGGAGATTCTTGAAAATTACCCCTTGGAGTTCAGTCAAAAAATTTTATAAGGTCCTTCTTCTTCTTCGAAAAAAAAAAAAAAAGAAAGAAAAAAAAAAGAAAAGAAAAAAAAAGAGATAAATATATATGCTTCTATATATATATATATTAAATAAAAAAAAAAAAAAGAAAAAAAAAGAAAAAGAAGAAGAAGAGACTAGAAGGGAGAAATAAGGACTAGTTGGTGAATTATTTTTGAAAACTCGACCCCTTGCCTTTAAAGAAAAAGTGGAGACCTTTGAACTTTTGAGAATCGAGTTTATTTAAGTCCGTAGAGGTGAATTCATTGTTTCAAACGCCTATCTTTCAAATTTTGGCGTAATCACCTAAATTCAAGAAGAATAGCCACACATACCCATATTTCCTACCTCGAACCAAAGAGCCTAACAATTGAAAGCCACAAAGCCCCAATGATCCAAATAGCTTAATGTTCGATATTAGTAGAGTAGAATAATTTGGTGAGTATTTGGAGTCAAGCATATGCATGTAAGTATAAATTCTTTCTATCTTTAATTTACAAATATTGGATGCTTGAAGCAATTGTATGAATTGTGGTTTTTGGTAATGGTGAGTGACTAAGTGTTGTTGAATTTTGAGCTTGCGAATGCCTAAGAATTGTCATTATAATTACAAGTTCTGAAAACGTGAAGTTGATCATTGATCTATGTGATGAGATGTAATAGTTGAGTTATTTGCTTGAGGACAAGCAAAAGTTCAAGTTTGGGGGTGTGTTAAGTGTATATTTTTACACTTTATCGTACCTTTTTATTTGGGCTTTTGGTGTGTTTTAATGATAATTGGTGTTTAAAAAGTTGATTTATTGTATTTTAGGTACAAATTGAAGAATTGGAAAAGTATGGGGTCAAAACTGCAATTTTGGCGAAAATATGGGTCAAAAGTGAAAATATCAAAATTCTGAAGAAACAAGGCTCGGACCCCCATCCCAGTTTTAGTGCAAATTATGGGACCCCCGTCCCATACCTCGAAGTTGCGCAGTAAAGGGATTTTAATTGCACAAGGAAACTGCCTTCTTCCCCAAGTTCTTCACCCTATATAAGACCAATCCAAGCACACAATTAGGGATCTTTTTACGCAATTTCAAGAGCAACAAAGCAATAACGAAGACGAAGAATTCGAAGACTCCAAGCAAAGATTTATCGTCTATGATTTATTTTATTTGCGTTTTTGCTTTAATCATGAGTAGCTAAATTTCTTATTTCTAGGATTTTATTTGGAACCCTATGTGGGATTTATGAACCCAATTCATGATATAGAATTTTTTATTTCATATACCCAATTTTATTGGAACACTTATACCAACACATACGAGCAAAGCTTTCAGGACCAAGATTTGAACGAGTTTCAACATAGAGAGCCACAATTTGATGATTTTCAAAATTATTATCCATCGCAGCAACAAACCACTAATGACCAACTTGATTTGGTATCCATCATTGGCGAATTCATGAATTCCACTCAAGCATCATTTCGAAACATGGAGATACAACTGGAAGAGATGACGATCAAATTAAAATCTGAGTCTCTTGAAAATATTCCAGACGAAATCGGCAATGGTTACATCAAAGAAAATTCGGGTGAAGCCTGCGGTGAGAAAAATCTTCCATCTCCAGAAAATAGTGTCGATATGAGAGAAATAGAAATTACGAAGACACTTGAGCATGATGAATCTGAGAAGGCAATCGAGCTAAACCATGAAGATGCCTCAGAACAAGAGAAGAAGGAGATGGATGTAATGATTGAAGATATTCTAGTTGTGGACCCTGTCGTTGATCTAAATGTAGATTTGAAGGCATCAATAGAGGTTGATGAGAAGACGAATGTGTTTGAAGTGGAGGTTATACGCGGGCGTGAGGTTTTTGTGTACCGATTTGAGGGAGCGGGTGATGAATATCCCATCTTAGCTTCGTACCGATTGATTACAACCAAAAAAGACTACAAGCTAAGGTGGACCGTGACATATTGCAGTGGTATCCATGCCTTGGTTGCAATTCAAGTGATAGAGCTCATGGATGGATGCACAATCTACAAGGCTTTGGATTGGACATAACAATTTCAAGAAGCAAAGTCTGGCTGAAGACTTAAAATTTAGCGCTTCTCGGGAGGCAACCCGAGCTTTACTGTTTTTCCTATTTTTCTTTAATTTTATGTTTTATTTTTATTTTCATAGGCATGCATTCTAATTAATTTATTTGATTTCTTATTTTTAAGGTCGGAATTGCGATCGGGACGGTCATCCGAGAGACATAGAGGGCATCTTCGCAAGAGGAAAATCAGATTTCTTTCCACAAATTCTCACACCCCGAAGACAATGATTCCGACTAAATCAGGTGTTTTCTATCCTTAAACTTTGTGCTAATTTCG